GAGTACATGGACCCTTAGGGGAATTGCGTTCTACTAACGTTTCGGGTTGATTCGCGTCCCTGGTGGTCTGTAAGATGTGGGGTCTACCTTCTGCAGGGATGTGGGAGTGTTCAGTTCAGGGTTGATCCCGCCCAGAGACAAAGCCCGATGTTTTTGAATAAACTCTTAACACCACCCCCCCCCCCCCCCCCCCNNACCCCAAACCCTAAACCTCAATGCCCAAAGCCCCTAATAGACTCTCTCACTCTACACCCCTAAACCCCGAACCCCAGACCCAAGACCCACACATCAAAGCCCCCAGCATGACTCAAAACTCACAAACCGAAGCCAGCAAGCCCTAACCACTGAAATGTGGACTTATTGAAAACAAACCTTGTATAACCACTATATAAAGGAAAATGTGAAAGACGTATGAACTAGATAACCCTAAACCCCCCAAACCCCAATTAGATTACCCTAAACCCCAAACCCTGAAAACTACACCCTGAACCCGGATATACCCTATAAACCCTAAACTCTGATGGAACAGGACCACAGCGGTCTCCAGTTGCACCCTAAACAAGGTTTAGGGTTTAGGGTTTAGCCTAGATTCGAACCTAAACCCCAAACCCCGTTAGAAAGCCTAAGCCCTGGAACAGGACCACCTTGGTCTCCATTTGCATGCTCGTCGGCGCTTGCGGAACGCTAGCGAACTCGCGGGCTCCTAACTTTAGCTCCTCGGCGGAGTTTTTGTTTCTTATAAGTTCTGTTGTTGTTGTTGTTGTTGTTTTTTTTAGGGTTATAGGGTTGTGTTAATGGTTGTAGGGTTTTAGCCAGTTTGGGGCTCGGGGTTTAGGGTTTTCCCTTCGAATTTAGGGCTCTAAAAGTTTGGGGCTTTGGGCCCAGATTCTGGGGGATGTTGTATGCCTGCTGTCGCCGTCTGTTTGTGAACCACCGTAGCCTTGTGAGATATCGTGAGTGCGAAGTTCGAGGTTTACTCGCTTAAATGTTTGCTGGGTTTGGAGTGCGCTGATTCACGTCGAGGTCTGGGCCTACCCATAGACCCCTAAGCAGTTCCTTTTTGGGATTACCTTGTAGGATTCTAAATATAAACCACAAAAAAGAACTACTTAGAGGCCAATGGGCCGGCTGGATTTGTAATCTGACACTGGGGGCTTGGCTGAAGGGGGTGTTCCTAGACTCCTAGACTGCCATTCTGTAGTCGGAGGGCTTTCGGCAGTGCCATTTCAGGGTCTAGGGTTTGGGGGTTTAGGGTTTATATAGGGTTTAGGGTTCAGCGCAGTGGGCCGTATCTAAAGGCCTGCAGTTTATGCGAGGGTGCGATTCAGTGAGACAGCCCCTATACACCCCAAACATTGTACCACCGTAAACCCAATTAAAACGCCATAGCATCGAGGCTCTTTACTTTTCTGCCGCGCGGCCGTCGGTGCCGCGGTGGGTGGCCTTCTGCCGGCCAGTTTCGCAATCATCGGAGATATGCTCCTTCGATTTCTTGGGGGTTTAGGGTTTAGGGTTTAAGGCCTCGGGTTTGCGGTTTGGGAGTGTTTGGATATATATATATATACATATACATATATATATATGTGTGTGTGTGTATCCACCTGCACAAGTATGTTAAGCGCGATCCTAGCATGTGAATATATTATTCTCATACAGACATGTTTTCTTGAACGGTGTATGCGAGATTCTCTGAGGTATCCGGCGGAGGAGCGTCCTCATGCTATCGCAATGCTGGCCGTGATCTCCGGCATGGGGCCCGCCATTGGACAGGCGAGGAAGCGCAATAAGGGGATTTTTTGCTTATGGCTTCCAGGGTTCCAAGCACAGTGGCAGCATTTTATTTTACAGTTGTGAAAGGTTTCACAGTGGACTAAACCCTAAACCCTAAGCCCTAAACCCTAAACCCAAAATGAACAGGACCGAGTCCCAGGGGCCTTGACCTTAGACCTTGTGCCTAGCGAACCAACAGTTACAACGAGAAGAAGGGCCCCTTTACCCCTATGGGTAATGGGTTACTAAGTTACTGCAAGGCTTCCTTGCAAGAGCCTTTCGAAGGAGCAGAACCCTTGTAGGACCCCTTAAAGAAACCCTAAAGGAACCCTTCTCAGATATCTTATAGGAACCCTCATATACTATCGATCTATATATATATATATAGATACATACATATATACATATATACATATGTACATATATGCATATATACATATATACATATACATATATATATATATATACACACATATATATATATACACATGTATATGCAGATATATACATATATATATACATATATATATATATATATTCCTATATATAAACCTCTGCCCAGGCTTTGGCCGGCTTTCTGGGCGCCACGGCTGGCTGGCGAGCTCCTTTTGCACTGGTTGGGGCCGCCGGCCTGGGCATCACCCTCCTCTTGCCCCTTGGGCTTAGTGGGGTTGAGGGTTTAGGGTTCAGGGTTTAGGCCCCCAAACCCTCAACCCTGAACCCCGAACCCTAAACCCTAAAGCCAAACCCTCGGGCTTAGCATTCAGGGTTCAGGGTTTCTGCGAAGAAGGTGAGTTGAACATGGAAGCCGAGGACTAAAATCCTGAACCCTATAGACTCCATGTTTAGGGTTGAGGGTAGCATCAACCGTACCCAACCCTAAACCCTAAACCCTAGCCTATCAAGCCCCTTGGGTTTCATGTTTGGGGGTTGCATCGGGTCTACAGTTGTTTTTGTGCCATATCGGGCAGGAATTTGGGCTTACATGCGGTTGAGCCTTAGAGTGTCGGGGAACGGGCTCTAGGCAACATGCCATTCTTCATTTCTGAACCATGCAATGCAAAGCTTAGCGACCCAGTATCCACGTGAACTGAAGCTCGCGAGGAAGCGGTCTGCAGAGACCGATGTTGCTGGTTACGGGATTAGAATGGTCTTTAACTTAAGACTTAACAGCTTTTGGCCCGAATTTGATGTTCAAAGCTTCCGTAGTTCGGAGTGGGCTGCATAGGTCTGGCGGTATGAAAGATGAGGCGGCCGAAACCGCAGAGGAAGACCGAGGAACTCCATATCAGTCAGAGAGCCCCTTGTAGGATGCCGAAACCGGCCTCCAACTTATTATCATTATTGCTATTACTATTATTATCACTAGTATTATTATTTTTCTATTATTATTACTGTTATTATTACTATTACTACTATTATTATTACTATGATTACTACTATTATTACTATGATTATCTGAAGCCTCCGGGCTCAGGTTCGTCCTCCAAAAGGAGCCAAACAAGATCGAGGAGGCTGAATTGGACGAGCCCTCGAATTACTGCACCTCCTTGTGCTCTGCGCTGGCGAGACCTACAGTGATCCTGACATGTCTGCAAGGCAGAGTCACTGGGTTTTAGGGGTTTTAAGGGTTTTAGGGGTTTTAAGGTTTGGGGGTTTTAGGGTTTAGGGTTTAAGTTCAGAGCTAATTACGATCTATAAGGGCCGTCTTTGGGCTTGAATGTCCGGGCTGGCGGTTTAGCACAGGCTGCGTCGAGTTCGAGCTGCTCTCCACATGGGTAGTTCTCAAAACTCGGGTCCCTCTTAGGGTCATTCCTATAAGGGTGCCATACGATTGTGGGGGACCTAAAGGGGCCTGCGATTTAGAAAATACTATTCTTGGGGACCGAAAAAAAGGGACTCGAATTTAGAAACCTTCCATGGATGTTTGATTTTGCTGTCTGTGTTCAACCAGAATCAGAAGTTCAGAAGGGATCGTTGGGCTGGTAGCAGGCTTGGTTGTAACTTTTTTTCTCCGAGATGTAACCTTTTTTCTTAGATGTAACTTTTTCCACCCCGCTTACCCCCACTACTCCACCTACCCCACTTAGCCTCAACCAACCCGGCAGTCAGGCTTTGCATAAGAGGAGGGAACGAGCTCATTCAGACAATCATGCGCGCAGGAGTGAATCCGGAAGGAACCTTTATCCAGCAGGAACCTTTGACCGAAAAGGAAAACCCTAAGGAGTGAATCCCGCAGGAAACTTTTGACCCAAGACGAAAACCCCAAGCAGTGACTACCCAAGGCGAAATCTCTACCCAGAGGCTCCGAAATAGTTCCTTTTTGTGGTTTATGTTTCGGATACTATAAGGCATCTCAAAAAGGAACGACTATGGAGCGTATGGGTAAGGAGTGTATCCAGCGGGAACCTTTTCCCGAAGACGAAAATTCTAAGGATTGAATCCAGCAGGAACCTTTTCCCGAAAACGAAAACCTTAAGGAGTGAATCCAGCAGGAACCCTTGACCGAAGACGAAAACCCTAGGGAGAAAAAGTTAAAGCAACACCATAAACAGGCAGTGGCTTGATGCTAGAGATACCAAGAAGAAAGTTATAACTAAGATGCCTGTTTTTCAACCCTCTGCAGAGATTTGCTGTTTTCGGAGCCAAAAAGAGTACAACACTGTGCTGAACAAGCCGAAAAGTTACATCTAAGAGAGAAAGGCCCTAAACCAGAAACCTTACACGGAGCTAAGTGTTCTACCCGTTGGGCTCTACGAGTCCCCACACCGAGGTTTAGGGTTTGGAGGCTTAGGGCTTGGAGTTAGGGTTGAGGGGCTTCGGCTTCAGGGTTATCCTTTGGCTTGGGCTTCGTATGATGCGTGCATTGCAGGATTACACACACACACACTCTCTCTCTCTCTATGTTTTTTTTGTTTTCCGTTTCTTTCCGTTTCTCTCTCTTTTACTGCCTGTGATAATGCAGTAACCTGAAAGTATAATGGTTTTATATCGCAGAAAATTTGTAGTCTGCTCGAAATCGTGCACGCCTGTGCATTGTAGGCCACGGGGAAATCCACCAAGCATCCTAAAGTGTTCATCTGAAACTTCGTTATCTGTGGACCCGCCCCCCAAACATTCACAGTTCTGCTGCGCCGTGGTCGAGGCATCTTTGGGTGCGTTCCCTGGGCTGTGATCGGCACTTTTCTTGCCGACTTCCTGGCCACCAACGCGAGCCTCGCCTAGAATTTTCCGATATAAACTTCTGCAGTCCAGACCCTAACCCTCCAGGTACCTACTATAGAGGGTACTAGAGCCCCTAGGACCCTAAATAGTAGGTACCTGGAGGGTTAGGGTGAACTGTTGATCTCCTTACTTGCTCAGCCGAGGCCCTACCCCTTTAAGGGTCTTTGAGGGTCTGCTATAAGGGTTCGAGAAGGTTTCAAAGAGTAGATACTTTGGCCTTAAAGTAGTCCCTACGTTAGGTGCGTTGGGGCTTGGGCACATGGATCCTCAATGAACAGTAAAGCCTGGGAGCCAGTGTTTCCAGTGTGGCCCTTCAGGCTGGCGGCTGACCCTTAGCAAGCCTTAAAGTTTTCGTTGTAAAGTTGCTCTATGTAATGCCCCTCTCGCGAAGGTTACCATACAATACCTTGAACTACCACAACCCAAACCACTTTTTTGAAGGGCCCCTATGATGTCTATTTATCTACATATCGGTGTATAATCAAAACCTTCCAAAACATCGGTAGTGGTAGTTTAAAGTAGAGTATTTCTCGTTTTGCAAGGGGCCAAGATATGGCATGTCGGTTTGAACCACTTCGAAACATCGGGCCCCCTTTGGCTTCGGTGTTCTCTCCTTGTATCCTCCTCGAACCTTCGCCAGAATCGAACCCTGTGCAGTGCTCCGGTTATATGATGTTGTATGAGCACAGTTGCCTGCCACATATTGAGCTGGGCTTCTGGGGCTTGTAATCCCCATCCTCTCCATCCCACTGCCTTTGAGCTTTCAGCGCAAAGCTCTTCCCATAAACCCTAAACTCTTCGAGGAACATGGGCGTTCCAGGGGCCACAACGGTCCTTTTTAGCTTTGGCGTGGGCTGCTTCACCGGCACTGCGATTGGAGGGAAGCTGGGACAGCGCCTCGGTTATTTCAGGGCGCCTTCCATATAAACGCTTGAGCATTTTTTAATTGACAATCTTGCTCCCCAGGGCTCCTCACTGCCTGAACGTACACAATGTACAGAGACTCACCAAATCCCGGATAATGTTTGTTTTTCTGTTGCAGCTCGGAGATAGGACGCTGTTCAGGAATGTAGTACTGTAGATGCCGATCTGATGAGCACTATAAAAGTCGGGCCCCTCTCTTTCATCCTTGTTGCGGCACCGGTTGAAACAGCACTGTGCACCACCAAGAACTGAGGTTCTGTGTTTTTACCTTGACGGTAATCGTATGTTATTAATAAGTGCAACCTCATGTTTACCCGTAAGCCCTAAAAGTATGCTCTAAACAAGATCAGCCCTAGGTGCCTGATCGAGAGCCCAAGCCTCATGAGGTTCAAGGTTTCGCGTCGCAATTTCGGGTTCCCTACAAGAAGGAACCTGCTATGTGGGGCCCTACATATGAATTGGGGTCTTAATGATGATGATCGTTCTTAGCAGCTTAGTACGTAGGACTTAGGGTTTAAAGTTCTTTCTTGCTTTGGGCTTCATGGTCCAAGAGCTACTGAAACACTGAACTCATTGCAGGTATGAGCAAACTTGAATAGACCGAAACCCTACCAACACAACGGGCTTGAACGTAGAATCCCAATAATGCAAGAACCTTTACCTGGGTCCTTGTTGGATACAATTTTACATTTTTGTTATAATGAAACCCTAAGAAGGATTAAAAATGATCATTTTCAATATGGCCCCAACAGGGAACCAGTTACCAGCCCTCATCTTCCCCCATGGTTTTGGGTTCAAGGTTAAACATGGTTTGGGGGTTTTACGGTTGACCCTGATCCTGACGCCCATACTCCTTCCAGGCATGCGCAGCATGGAACCCCAAGCTACCCTAATCCCTTAAACCCTAAACCCCTAAGCCCTAATCCCTTAAACCCTACTGTGAACCTTAAACCACAGCGAAGTCCACAGTCTGGGAGCTGTAACCGTTCAACCCGAATCCTGGCCCGGGCAACCCTTACACCGTAGACCCTAAGCCCAAAGCCCACCATGTACCCGAAACCCGAAACCCTACACCCAGACAGTATACCCTAACACCCCTAGAACCAGGCATTTGTACCCTCAACCCTCAACCTAGAGCCTAAAGCCTAGAACCCCCCAAAAACCAGGCATTTGTACCCTGAACCCTCAACCTAGACCCAAAAGCCTCGAACCCCTAAGACCCTTATAAACCCTAGAACCACCATGAACCCAGGCATTTGTACAGAAGAGATAAACGACTGCAAGCCTGGCTCATGGGGCTCACCGTGTGGGGCGGGATGCTACCGCTTCCCGGCTTAGGGGCTTATAGGGGCTTAGGGTCTTAGGGGTTTAGGGGCTTGGGGGGTTCTTAGGGGTTTAGGGTTTGGGGGCTCAGGGGGTCTTGGGGGTTTAGGGTTGACGTTCTAGGGTTTAGGGGCTTAGTTTAGGGTTTAGGGTCTTAGGGGTTTAGGGTTTAGGGTTTAGGGTTGACGGTCTAGGGTTTAGGGATGTTTAGGCTTTAGGGGCTTAGGGGTTAGGGTTTACGGTTTAGGGTTTATAGGGTTTAGGGTTTCGGGTTCAGGAGGTGAGTTTGCTTGATAACTACCTTACACTAAACTACCAAAGCCTCCTTGTATGTAGGGTCCCTATGAATTCTGTATTAGGGTCTATAGTAAGAACCTACAAAAAAGGTAGGTTATGATACTTCAAGGTAGGGTTGCAGAAGTGGTTTTGCTTTGAGTAGCGATTCCCATGGTGTCAACTTTGGGGTTTCCTCGTTTAGGATCTAGGAGTTTTGGGGTGTAGGTGATATCCAACAGAAATGTGTGCAGCCTACGCGCTGGCTGGTCTAAATTAGTGCTATACCACCATTTTTGTCTTTATGATGGCATGTTTGTCATAGCTTCTGGGGAGAGATTCCCTGGGACTCCAAATAGGCCAAAGTAGGTACTATTTACAGACTTTAGAACCCAAAGTAGGTCATATTTGTATACTTGGAGCCCCAGGGATTGTGCTTTGATGCAGGTTTATGTTCACCCTAAACCCTAAACCCTAAACCCAGGTTTATGTTCCTCTTTTCCTCTGCCGGCTCCTGGGGACACCCGGTGCTTTTCTACATTCTGGCGCTCGCCGGTGGAATCCTGGCGCCGATTGCAGGGAGCAACGCGAAAGCCGTGCTTCTGAATACGGTGGCCACGAGGTCTCGCGGCACAGTGTTCGGTGTTCTTTGGCGCAAAACCTGGTACCCGCTTTTACTTTTGGTTTGACCTTTTGCCACTGACGAGGTCCAGGTGTCTGATCGCCTGCTCGCTACAAAAGAACTGTACTGCGAGCCAACTCCCTCGAACCCGAGCCCTCATCCGAGAAATACCTACTAAGCCTGTAAGCAAAACCGAAGCATAGATTATTTTTTCTATGAAGCCGGAAATAGCCGATACCCTGAACGGTCAGGTCTACAACATCATGGACGACCTCGGCAAAGGCTCTGGGGTGTAGGGTGAAGAGCCTTTCGAACACCGAACACCTCGCAATACCCCCGAAACTTAGTAGGACTTTCGAGTACAGGGTTCACTGATTCAGCATGCCATTTGAGGTGTTGAAGGCCAAAGGTATTGGCGCTGTGGGGATCTAGGATCTAACGTGTCTACCGCTCCAGCCGCACCGTCGGATTCATTTGAAGGGACGTCCTTTAATTAGACCCAACAGTCTCGCAAAAGCCGGCTTGCAAAGTTCTCTAAACCCTACATCCTTGACCCTTGTAGTACCTTCTTGTTGTTTACCAGGGTCTGATTCTAGGATCCCGAGCAGAAAGTAGGTTACCCTGAAACAGACACTTCAGAGCCCGGAACCTATTTAGACAACCCTTCCAGAACCACAGACTGCAGAATCCTCACATAACCTTCTTAAACCTTTACAGAATTGGGACTTGCGGAAAATTGGGGTACCTTATTTTGGGGTCCTTATAATAAGGATCCTACTATTTAGGGTACTATATTAGGGTCCCCTATTTTGGGAAACCCCCAATTGAAACCCGAATAGAACGCATGAGAAGCCCTAAACCCTGCACCCTTAGAGCAAAATGATGATAAAGATCCTGAACCCTAACGACAACCCTAAACCCCAAACCGCGCGTAAGCCCAGCTGAGTCCTACTAATCTAGGGGCCCTTTAAAAGGAACCCTAAACCCCTAAACCCCTAAACCCCTAAACCCTAAACCCCTAAACCCCTAAACCCCTAAACCCTAAACCCCTAAACCCCTAACCCCTAAACCAACTCTGAACCCCCAAACCCTAAACCCCTAAACCCCTAAACCCGAAAAACTTAAACCCCCAAACCCCTAAAACCCTAAACCCCTAAACCCTAAAAACCTAAACCCCTAAACCCCCTAAAACCCTAAACCCTAAAACCCTAAGCCCTAAACCCCGAAACCCTCTTTTAGCAGGCCTCGGGCCGGCTCTAGTCTCGAGCTGGGTGAGACGTCTTGGGCGACGGGCGCCACGGCCTACTTAGCAAGCTGGTTTTAGGGGTTTAGGGTTTAGGGGTTTAGGGTTTCGGGTTTTTGGGTTTAGGGGTTTAGGGTTTAGGGTTTCGGGATTTAGGGGTTTAGAGGTTTAGGGCTTGGGGTTTTAGGGGTTTAGGGTTTAGGGGTTTAGGGTTTCGGGTTTAGGGTTTAGGGGTTTAGGGGATAGGGTTTAGGGGTTTAGGGTTTTTTTTGAACCTGCTTCAGGAAGGTAGCTAGGATTGGGGGGGTTTTAGGTCATTTCGTTTGGGGTTTGAGGATGGAGTTGGTCTTGGGAATGTGTCTGGGGTTTGGCTTTGGGATGGTTTGGTTGCTTGAATCTTCAGGCTGATACCCCCTAAACCCTAAACCCTAAACTGCCCTAAACCCTAAACGTAAACCCTAAACCTTAACTGATACCCAAAAACTCGTGGCATCCGGGGTCGAGGCACCCTTATAAGAAGGACCCTAAAAGCGACCCTGCTTCAAAGAGCTACCAAAATCTGCAGCAGGACTCCTTCATGTTGGGGATTGCATTTTGGGCGCCCTGTGGCCTTTTTTGTGCCACCTGGCAGCATGAGCTCAAGCCCCTGATGTACGGAATGTAGGCTCTAGCGTTTAGTGCTTCGGGGGTTTAGGGTCTGTGGCTCCAGGGCTTTATGTCTCTGGTGATTGGGGTTTCGGTGTACTGGGTCCGAAGCACGACATAATCTACATAGGCCTCGGCACATTTCTCTCGAACTCTACAGCCTCTTCGTCAACATGCTGCAAGCCCGGCCGGCTTCTAAGCAGCCTCCCTCTCTTCCCATAATATCATCTTCCGACAAGGGTCACGATGCGAATGATCGGGGATTCAAACTATATCCGACACCAAAGCTCTAGACTCTAAACCTCGCAAGACGGAAGCCACTCGTTCTTGAACGCACATATTGTGTTCGAGTTGGGGCTTAGGGTAGATATGTGAGTCCCGATGGAGATAGCGATTTCATGATTGTGACTTCCCTTGGAGCGAACAAACAGCATAGCCCCAAGCCCTAGCCGTACCGGCAAAACCAACGATATTCAGGTTTTAGAGCTTAGGTATTTCCTAGTTCGCAGCACAGGTAAGAAGTCAGAGCAGTTTGACTGAACCCTGAATATGTTCAAGTCGGAACCAGGCTTGTTGGCTCCCGTCCTCAACTTCCGAAGACATGGAAGTTGTAATAACCTCCCTGCACTCTAGGAAGATCCTTGTGGGAACAAGCTATCTAAGGCCCCAAAACCCCTTATGGTAATTTTATCTAGAGCACCGTTTCTCTTCACCGTCTTCCCAAGTTTGGCCCTTGCAGAGTTAATGATTAATGGGGCTTCTTGGCCTGGTCTTCATACTGATGTTGTTGCTCATGTTGCTCCCGGTCTTTCTGGGACTAGTCTTGCTGGCTGTGGTTGAAGTTCAGAAAACATCCTTCACAGGTTGGTTGTGCAGATAATATCCTTCAGAGGTTGGTTGTGTACTGGTTTTCGCTGGCTTAAGGTTATTTCTTGACACGCGTCTGCTCCGGTTCCCAATGTTGAGTTCACTAATGCTCATGTTGTACCCCAGCTCTTCCCCATGTTGAGCCACACTGCTTTCTGCCAGTACTACCCATTCTTGCGGTTCACTAGCGTCATTGCGGGGGCCTTAGCTACATATGCTTCCTCTCTTTTTCTCATATGTTCAAGCGACCATTGGTTGCCAGATGGATTTATCATAAGCCGCAGCCGCAAAGTGTACCCAGCAACTTGTGGCCGCAAAGCAAAGCCGTTTACAAGGCTCCGTTTTGTATAAGCCTCAGTGTTGAGTATACTGAATATACGCAACGGGCTCTGTGGCTGAGCCCTAGACTCCTATTTAGCAGGTCCTCATGACCAAGACCATCCCAAGTGACGACCTTTCAGCGCGGACACTGCCGGAGGTCCCATCGAGGGAGGCCATCAAGCTTCTAGGTCTCTAAGCAGTACCCTTTTGCCTTGTTGTTTTATCTTGGGGATCTCCTTTTTTACATCGAATAGGGTAATGATTTTTGTTGTTGTTAATATCATCATCATCATCATCATCATCACCATCACCATCATCATCATCGTCGCCATCACTACCTCTTGACATTATGATTATGAAGACGATGACTGCTGTTTTTTGATGTTCTGTCGATTATTAAGGGGCTATCGGGGAACCCAGGCTTCCTCACTGTAAGAGGCTTTTGCTTTGGGCGGCCGTGGTCTTGCATAGGGTTTGGGGCTTCAGAGAGGGTTTGAGGGCTTTGGGGATTGGCATAGGGGCCCGGCCTTGATAATTAGACTAGGGTTTTTTTGGGCAAAAAACCCAAAATAGGAGTTTCTTTAGACCCCTAGATTATAGATTAAGGGCACTCAAAAGTGTAAGGGCCTTATCCTAAGATCCCGGCTGTCCTTGTAGCGGTTGAGAGCTTACGATGTTTAAAGCGATCGGGGTATCAGGCCTTGGGGTGAGGATACCCTCAACCCTGAAATGCTCAAAACCCAACCGCTCAACCCCCGGCCCCCAACCGTCAAAACCCTACACCCGAAAGCCCCAACCCTAAACTTTGACTTGTTTGTTGACTTGTTTGTAGTCCGTAGCCTTTCCTGTCCCTACACCCTAAACCCTAAACCCCTAAACCCCTAAACCCCTATAGCCCTATAACCCTATAAACCCTAAACCCTACTTCCGTCTTACCCGGCCTTGCCCCAAAACAGACTTCAGCCTCCTTCAACCCGGGCCTCGAAGGTCCTGCGGTTTTTTTTCAGAAGACCCTGAACCGTAAAGTCTCCTAAACCCCAAAGCCTCCGTCTCCTAAACTCTTAAACCCCAAAGTTTCCGTCTCTTAAACCCCAAAGGCTCCTAAACTCTAAAGTCTCAGCTTCCCTAGACCCTCAAAGCTAAAGTGTGTTCGGATTCAGGCTAAATCCTAAACCCCGAAACCCTAATGCCATAAACCCCGAAACCTTAAACCCTAAACCCTAAACCGTGCTAAACATGGAGGGTGTCTAACTGTGAAGGTTGTCTTACTGTTTGCTGGGTCTGTTTCACCTAGTGTAGGCTGGCAGGGGCTGGATTGGTCGTAAAGTCCGATTCATTGCACTTACCCTTAGCATCGAAGGACTCATATCTTAAGGCTTTTGGGCCCAAAGACCCTATTATATATAAGGCTTTTGGGCTATTTTGATGCTAAGGGTTAAAAAAAAACCGTCCTACACCCCTTTCAGGGTTTGCGGCAGTCCAAAGGTTCGAGGACGAGTCGCCAGAGACTGCCGAGGGCTCCTTTGAAGGGAGCTCCCTGTGCCCCGACAGAGTTTAGAGCTGAGGGTTTAGGGTTTAGGGGTTTAGGGTTTAATTAGGGTTTAAAGTCTAGGTAGGGTTTAGGGTTTAGGGGTTTAGTTTTTTTTGTTTACGGGTTTAGGGTTTACGGGTTTAGGGTTTAGGGGTTTAGGGTTTAGGGATTAGAGTTTACGGGTGTAGGGTTTAGGGTTTAGGGGTTTAGGGTTTAGGGATTAGGGTTTACGAGTTTAGGGTTTAATTAGGGTTTAGGGGTTTCGGGTTTAGGGGTTTAGGGGTTTAGGGTTTAGGGTTTACAGTTTAGGGTTTAGGCTTTAGGCTTTATTTAGGGCTTGGGGGTTTAGGGTTTAGGGGTTTAGGGTTTAAGGTTTAGGGGTTTAGGGTTTAGGGGTTTAGGGTTTAGGGTTAAGGGTGTAAAGTTTAGGGTTTAGGCTGTAGGCTTTAATTGGGGTTTAGGTGTTTGGGGTTTAGGGTTACCTTTGGGCTCTAAAGTTCCGAAGTCTAAACCCTCTAAGCCCAAAGCCCTGAATGCAAATCCCTTATAATATATGAACCCTAAACGGCCCAAAACCCTACCCATCGGCTCCATAGAATCATCTCCGCATAATGCCAAATCTCGCGTTCGCGATCCGACAAGCTGATGCCCAGACGGCACACTAGCATCTCCCGCAGCACTTTCAACCAAGTAAAACATAAGTCCTCAAGGCCTCGAATCACCTCCGAAATGAGCGCTTGCAGATCCAGGTGGCACACGGGCACCCTAACGATCTGAGGTTCTTGCCTGTGTGTTATAATATATATATATGTATATGTATGTGTATCTATCTATCTACCTATCTCATACCCTTTTCTATACATATATACATACATACATATATATATATATACATACATACATAAGTAGCAGTACTGAGAATCTACAACATCAGGACATCGCAGAGCTCCACGAAGTCGAAATCTCCGGACTCCCCGAGCAAGCTGTGCTTTGGGCTGCAAGTTGGAGCACTGAGGGTCGGGCCGGTAGAGTGTTGGGCTTAGGACGTAGAGTCTAGGGCGTCTAGGGCATGATGCTATAGCCAAATTGGTGCAATTGGCGGGGTCATGGGCCATCGTTTAGTAGGTTTCTTTCTTCGGATGGAGGGGCTTGGGGTTAGCGTTTGGAGTGTAGGGCCTCACGGCATCTGCTTTGATTGGGCTTTGGGGTTTGGCGGTCAAGCAGCGCTTGGGATCCTATTGGTACAGGTGCTCTTCCCTGAAACCGTTGGAATGGTTCAATCAATTTTCGTTTGGGGTAAAGGTGTGGGTCCGGGGGCCTGGGCCTAGGACACCCTTCTTTCCAAAGCATGCAGAGCGTGAAAAGCTGGAGAGCCCATCATTCACCTTAGGGTTTATGGGGTTTACGGATAGATACACGTCAGTGTTCTTTTGTGTCGGCTTTGGGAGATGTGAGCCAAGGCATCCGATAGAGGAATGTGTTTTGTGAACCACGGGCAAAGCTGTTGGTAATCTTAGCCCCTCAAACCAAGCCCAATATTTGGCAATCTCATGCGTGTGTTTATAACGCAGTTCAACATCGGGCCTAGACGGAAAGAATGCATGGCTTTGTGATTTCGGTTATTTTGTAATGCCTTTATTGGGGACCGCATTGGGAAGATTTCTGCCAACCAATGAGACCTCTAGATTAGGAATACCCATGGTGAGTATCTTGTTGCTGCAGCAGTGGCTGGAAGATCCCGAAACTGTCTGCCCCAGCATGGTCCTTTCGTACTAAGGACATCGAAGAGAGCACAGACCATCGGCCACCCCTACCGAGAGACCCTATCTTTTTCCGATGACAACAGCTGAGCAGAGGGCATCCGGCCGCAGAGCTGCTTAATGAGGCTAAATGCTTATAGGGTTTATAGGGTTTAGGGTTAAAATACGAGTTTTGCATCGCACGATCCTACAGCAGACATGTCCCTCCCCTCCTTAGGCGTCCAACCCTTAGCGAAGCTGATGAACATCAGCTTAAGGTTGCGTAAACCGGTGGCCGTAAGCCCTAAACCGCATGCGAAAGCCCCAAGCCCCAAAACCCTAGATTTATGCGTATCGGTTTAGGGGGCCGGAAGCCCTTTAATCGCAGAGCTTATAGCCTAATGATGTAAAAGCGGGTTCCTATTGTAATTACAGTGTAGCGTACCCTAAAACCCTACTCGGCTAATCAAAGGGTCGACCATATTTCATCTTTCATTCAGGCTCCGATAGCACAAGCATCGTCGGCATTTCCAGGCAAGCTGCCACATGAGTTTAACGGTATCTTAGAGTTTCGGGTCTTTTGATTTCTTGGTTGACGCAAAACGAGAGCCGCCTTCCAGTCCCTACATATGTGTGTGTATATATGTATACATATATATATGTGTGTGTGTGTATCTCTATCTATCCATCCATTCATCCATCCATCCACCCATCCGCCCACCCAGCCGCCCACCCACCCACCCACTCACCCTCCCACCCTCCCACCCACCCACCCTCCCACCCATCCATCCACCCATCCATCCATCCATCCATCTATCGACCCATCTATACATACATATGTATATGTATATGTATGTATGTATGTATGTATGTATGTATGTATGTCTCTCTATATATATATATAGATATATATATATATAGATAGATAGTATGAGAATTGAAGGAGTATTAGACATGTGCTTTGCACTTTGTTTCATGTGTATCGTGTTGCCGTCTGTTGCAGATGTCTTCATGCCGGCTAATTCTTCTCACGTGGCGCTTTGTCAGAAAAGCTCTGTCAACGCACACTGGTGGGATGTGGGGCTTCTTTCATCCTAAACTCTAAACCCTAAACCCTAAACCCCTAAACCCTAAACCCTGAAACCTAAACCCCTAAACCCTAAACCCCTAAACCCGTTCCTGCGCCCTAAGCCTGGCCAGACCGCGTAGACTGTAGGGCCCTGGCTGATACGAGCCTGTGGGCTCAGGATGAGGGCAGTCTGTGCAAAAGAAAGACTGACTTGTGTGACGTGGTGTCTCGGGTTCAAAGTAAACTTCACACTCAAGTAAAGGTACAGGTACATGTACAGTTCTTCGATTGTTAACATATGCTTCCGCATACACATACTCACTTACACTTACACCTGCACACCTGCCTACCTAACGACCTGCCTACGTATCTGCCTGCCGACCTTCATACCTGCCTACCTACCTACCTACCTACCTACCTACTTACCTTCCTTCCTTCCTACCTGGCATACATGCGGACACACATATAATCCACCCATCCCTGCCTCCCTCCCTCCGTCTGTCCAGCCATCGAAGCTGTATGTACGTAGTGCGAACATGTAGGTAAGCATGCATGCATGCATCCATGTGTGCATGTGTGCATATATACCTGCATGTAATGTATGTAAGTGTGTAGGTATGTGTGTCTGACTGACTGACTGTCTGTCTGCCTGCTTACATATGTCTGTATACATATGTATATAACATACATACATACATACATACATACATACATACATACATGCATACATGCATACATACATACATACATACATACATACAGACATACATACAGACATACATACAGCATACATACATACATACATACATACATACATACATACATATAAACATACAAACATACATACATGCATGCCTAATGCAAGAACAAGACAAAATGAGATCAACATAAAAGAAGAATACCACGGAGAGAAACATAGCGATGAAACTTAAGAACGAAGAGAAAGAGAGGTAGAGATTGACAGAGGCCGACAGAAGTTGCCACAAAAAAACATTGCACAAGAACCGAAGTTAGAAGCCCCATGGTTCCTTGGTGTCTCACCCTTTTCCCCGATGATTCAAAGCATGCCCGAAAAGTGCAGAACACATGAATCAAACAGCCTCTCCCGCACCTCCCACAGCCGTTGTCTCTAAAACCCAAAGTCCTAAAACCCACACTCTTACAGCCCCAAACACCCCTTTATCTCTGAAACCCGAAGTTGTGAAAATCCACGTTGGGCGATTGGACCGTTTGGGGGACAATTCGCAGCGAAGTTTGCGGGATCAAGGCTCGAAGCTCCAGTCCGTGTAAAGTTCATGGTTTTCGCAGGGTTTAGGGTTTAGGGCCGTTTAGGGCTTGGGATCAGGGGCTCAAGTTAACATGGTGGAAATTTAGGGAATAGAGGGCGCTTTAGGGCTTGATAGGGTTTCAACAAGAATGTGAGAAGAATGGTATAGGGGGTCTAGGAATCTCGAATTTCAGGGGTTAGGGCCTTGGAGTTTAGAAAAGTGGAGTGTTGTGTTGTCAGGATGTTGCAGAGTCTCGGGAAAGCTTGCGTCGATTAGAGGATTTAGGGGCTACCTCCCCAAAAATAACCTACCTCTGTTTAAGGATTTATATAAAGAAATCATAATAAGGAACCCTAAAAAGGTAGGTTCTTTGGGGTGCAGCTAGGAGGTTCAGGGCTAAACCCTAAACGGTTTAGAGTTGCGGATGGCTGCTGGTCTGGAGCAGCCCACGTCTTGCACAGATCTGCCCAGGCCGCCCCTGTTGTGAACAATAGCAGTCCCTGGGGCTCCGGTTACTCAAACATCATTGGGGTATGCAATATATGGTTGGTATACCTATTAATTAGGCCACTGGAGCCCTAATTAGTAGGCTTCAGCTTTTATGTGAGCGGCTGTAATGCAACAAAGTTCACGCTTTTGCCTACGATGCTTGATACTTGTCTACGGAACGAAGCCATGTGTGAGGATTGGTCCCTCAACACTAAACCTCTCACCCAGAACCCACCAGGGGCGGCGTTGTGCTCAAGTCCATTTAGTTGTTTTGGCTCGAAGGCATATTCTGTGATGCAGTATCACCTTGCATGCGGAAAAAGTGCTTGTCTGGCTGCAAGTCAGCTCTCGGCGGCTGGTCTTCCGAGTTTTAACCTACTTGAAAGAAGCTATGAAGGTCAACAAGGTCCTAAGAATTCTATACGGCCCAAACCCTACACATTTTCAGAAACAAGAGTAGGAGATCCTAAGAACGAATCCGGAGCGCAAAAAACTGATAGTAAGTAGAAATCTTATTTCAGTAACCCTATTTGAGTGAGTGTACCAGCGAGATTTCTACATCCGCCAGGGCATAAGGTCATGTGCGCGAGAATGAAAGGCTCTCGTCTTGCTGTCGGAAATTCGGCCTAAACCCAAACCCCAAAACCCAAAACCCCAAAACCCTAAATTTAAACCCCAAACCCTAAGCCCTAAACCCTAAAGCCCTAAGCCTTAAACCCTAAACCCTATAAACCCTGAACCTGAGTCCGAAAGACTCCGCACTTTAAAGTTTGAGGGCTTGGGCTCGCGTCTCCAGTTCTTGCTCGGGTTTGGGAGAGAGGGCTTCGGTCAGGGTTTTAGGGTTCAGGGTTTGGGGTTTAGGTTTTCAGGGTTTAGGGGTTTTGGAGTTTAGGGTTTTTCTTGGTCTGGGGTTTTGGGGTTTGTTTGCGTGGGTTAGGACTGGAGGGATGTTAGGTGTAGGACTTTTAATACAGTCTCCATTGCAGTTCCGTTTCGGGACTACCTTGTCCGATCCTGAACCTAAAACTGGTTGCGGTTGGGATCCCTGTCGCAACTGCAGCTGCGTTGGTCCAAAGCACGTGTGTCCATCTATGGCGGTGACGCATTAGTTCTGTAGGCTCTTTGGGTTTATAAGATTAGCGGTTGGTAGAGTGGTCTATAGCTGAAGCGCCTAGAGGCTTACAGTGTATTGCTATCAGAGCTCCCATCTCGGCTTCGAGACAGCCATGGATGCATCCGACGATAGCGCCCGGACTCTTTCAAGTCTTCAGTTCTATAAATGATGGTCATCCTAACATGGTTCGTGTTCACTTCCGAACGTTCACCCGAAGCTTCTCTCAAAGGATGTCTTATAAATGTTGAAACCCTGGGGCTCCAAATAGCCCAAAGTAGGTACTATTTACAGACTTTAGAACCCAAAGTAGGTCATGTTTGTATACTTGGAGCCCTAGGGAAATAGGCAGCTTTGGGAAGACTCTCTTCGGATTCGAAGTTGACGCTTTCGTCTGTGGGGATACAGGATTTGCAGGTCCAGGTTGTGCCGTTTAGGATTTATATAGGGTTCTAGGGCATATACCTTGAACCCCAAAACCCTAAACCCACCCCCTAAACCCTAAACCCAGGCGACTCTGAGCTGGCAGACGGCGGCTTGGCCTGCGTTTACTTTGCATCATCCGCGGTGGTAGTGGTAGGGTTTAGGGTTCAGGGTTTAGGGTTTAGGGGTTCAGGGTTTAGGGGTTTAGGGTTTAAGGCTTTAGGGGTCGTCGTGGCCGTAGTCGTACTAGCAGTAGATAGCCGGAGGATGGGGACCAGGAATCTCAGCCACTAGCTTCAGGTCTTTCTGGGCTGAGCTTTGTTTGATGTGCAGGGCTGTACCGACTCCATGTCAACAGAGTTGGACGGTTTATGAGCTCAGTCAACTAAGTTCCTTGTAATGCTGCTCAGGCTTGTTTTGCAGGGGTGGTCGCCTGGCAAGGTCGTGGCCCCCATCCTAAAACCCTAAAGCGCTAAACCCTACACGCTAAGCCCTAAATGCTAAACCCAAAACCCTAAACGCTAAACCCGACACCCTGAACCCAAAACGGAGATCAGTAAACCACAAGTAGTCGCCTGTCTTGAAGGCCTACGACCTGAAGTGCCAATCCCAGGTAACATCCGATGTCCAGGGTATATGAGGGTTCTCCAAAGACAACAATAGCAATAGTGGCAGCAACAACAATAATAATGACAATACTACTACTACTGGTATCAACAATAGTAATAATGGTACTAAGGCTATCGCTGTT